TAACCACTGATTTGTAGTCGTGTCCTCTTTTGGAAGACCAAACAAAGTAGTTTCGCTTTCACAACGAAGCACACAGCGTCTTCACGACATGGCTGCAGCATCAACAAAACTATAGTGAGAAGTAAAAGTTAAGCCTTTCATTGCGTGAACATTTGGGCGGCGTTATGCAAATTTTCCCACATAGTGAGGTAGATATGTGGGGGCGTTTTAGGTAGGTGTGGTGACTCTGAACTTTTATAAAGAATGTTTCTTTGGATTTGAGACTTTAGTCTTTGCAACTTTACAGATCTTCTTTATGCACCAAAAGCTTGTAACACTCCAAAGAGAAAGGAAAAATTGAAATCGCATCATATGACCCCTTTAACATTTTTACTGTTTATACTGTATTCAAAGCGTAATTGACGTCTTTCAAAAACATTAAAAAATCGAACCCCAATCTTTTGAACAGTAATGTAAATTTGTTGGAAAACTTTGAGAAATAAAATAGTTAAAAATACATTCCTCCCTAAAATGCTTTCTTACAAAAACTTTACCAATTGACTAAAATGCAAAAAAAGCATTTATTACATATGAAAGAAAGCTTTCTGCATATGTACAGGAAGTAAACAGAGTGAGAAAATGACATACCATATAATTTCCTGTTGTTTGTATAATGATGATGATATTTTTCTGAAGGTTTTGGGGATGCCGCTGTCTGATGCCAGACCAAAGGTTTTGGGTTTAGACCCCAAAGTTCTGTCCTATACAGTGGAATCAGGTCAGAATTGCTCCCACTTAATTTCAGACAAAAAAAAAATGAATACCACACAAGTCTTTTGTTTTTAATTGACACTATTCATATAATTATACACATTTTCTCACAGTTTATGTATGCACACAGTTTATGTTGTACATGTGTGTTTAGACTCTGAAGAAGACACCAGTGAGAAGTCTGCAGATGAAGACTCTCTCAGATCAACCTTAGAGGAACTGACTGAAGTGCAGTTTCAGTTTGAAGTCAAAGCAGTACGTTCTTCTTCATCACTTTGTTCACACCATGCCACAACCATTCGTCATCAGTTGGGCGCAAGAGCCCCACGTTTCATTAAAGAATCATTCAGCATTCCATCAGTTGATGACAATTATTTTGTGTATGATTCCTGTTCGTGTTTGTGTGGACCATTGTGTGTTTTAGTGTGAAGTGATGTATATGTGTCTATATATATATATATGTGTGTGTGTGTGTGTGTGTGTAGGTGTTGTTGGAGCTTACGAGGCAGGCCGCTCAGGAGGATGTCGTATTGGCTTTCAATGTGTCTCAACTGGGTGCAGAGGGCAAGATACGGACCTTTGATCTCACTGTCACATCTTACCTGCGCAAGATCAGCCTGGACTACTGCGAGATAAAAGGTACACGCACACACACACAAAGTGTGATCAAGCTTTTGTTGTTTGAAGTACTTTTTTCAGGGATACCGTTGCTCTCATTCTTGTGTGTATGTGTTTCAGATGCGCAAAATCAGCCACTTCATCTAATTACCTCTTCAGACAAGCATGGCTCTGATCTATTGAAAGTGGAGTACATCAAAGTAAACATGAGCATTTTGCTTATCAAACACTCTATAAAGGACTCTCGTAAATGAGTTGTTTTAGCTGAATGGTTTAATTTGTTCTGGTCTGCATGGCCTTTTTTATGTCCTTCAGGCTGATGTTAATGGACCCAGCTTCCACACCATACTTAATAATACAGAACAAGCACTGAAGGTATGTTTAAGTTTATAGTTCCAAATAATGAATGGCAGTAATCCTAGAATTTATTTGTTTACGTGCTCATTCAATATATTTATATTAGATCAAAAGGGTGCTTCTACTAAATACTGAGCAAAGGGTCTGAATACTTAGGACCATGTGATATTTCAGTTTTTCTTTTTTAATAAATCTGCAAAAATGTCAACAATGCTGTGTTTTTCTGTCAATATGGGGTGCTGTGTGTACATTAATGAGGAAAAGGATTTTAGCAAATGGCTGCAATATAACAAAGAGTGAAAAATTTAAGGGGGTCTGAATACTTTCCGTACCCACTGTATGTATATATATATATACACGCATGCACAAAATCAATTTTTATTGCATTCTTAAAATTACACTATTAGTCTTTTTAATTTGAATTTTGATTAATGTTTCATTTGAAAAAAAAAAAGGAAAGTTGGAAAGTTTAATCAGAAATCAAAATTAAGTAATTGATTTACTTCTTTTCTCAGGTGGAGTTTTCCTCACTGGACTTCCTGCTGCACACTAAAGCTTTGCTGTCTACCATCAACTACATGAATTCAGCAATACCACAAGACCTCACAGCTTCAAAAGACAGAGATACCAAGAGACGGGCTGAGAGAGCAGCAGCAGGGAAGACAGGTGTGAATAACACATATGCCTTTTATGTTGAAAATCTGTGGTTTTGTTTGATGTCAAATTATTGGGTAGACCCTGAATATTGCTCATGCATCCATGTTGTCCTTGTCTCTGCTTTGTAGGTTTTTTCTTGGGTAACTAATGTTTTTTTCTTTACCTTTGCACTGGTCTTGACATGCCATGTACTAACAGGGGTCTGAAACAATATCTGTTTTGCTTGTGTTAATGCATGTTGCAGACACTACTGTTTTTAGATTGTCATATTATGTGTTGTTTGAGTGTTTTAACTGGAGTGTCTATGTTTTGTTAGTGTCTAAGGGTTCGAAGGACTCTGGTGTTGTGAACTTTAAGCTGTCTGCCGTACTCGGCTCTTTCAGAGTGGCTGTTTGTGATGACAGAAGCAACATTGCTGACATCCGGGTTCAAGGTAGAAAAAACTAAAGTGTCTGTCCTTAAAAGTCGGCGTACCTTAAAATGATATATTAATTTTCTGCAAGTTAACCAAACATGTTGATTTCATTTATGTCAGGCATTGACGCGTCTGTGGTGGTCCAGGCCAAAGAAACAGACGTTTTTGCCCGTCTGCGTGACATTGTGGTTCTTGATGTGGACCCTAAGACTATCCATAAGAAGGTGAGAGATCAGTCATATTGTTTTTGGTATGTTTGTAAGCAGGTTTCTGTGCTCCAGTTCTGTTTTTGTGAATACTACCAGGCGGTGTCAATCGTTGGAGAAGAGGTGTTCAGCTTTAAGATGACATTGTATCCTGGGGCCACTGAAGGTGAAGGATACACTGACACCTCCAAAGTGGATGGGAAAGTTATCCTGAGACTTGGCTGTATCCAGATCGTCTACCTGCATAAGTTCCTTACATCTTTATTGGTACGAATTCATGTAAATCCACTTACCTTTCATATTGTATCGGTACTCATATTTTGTCTGTGTTACTCAGTCATCTAAAATGTATACCAGTAGATAAAACTCAATGACGGGTAATTGCAAAACAAACAGGGACAGCGTTTTAAAAAACTGTATTTCTCAGTGTCTGTATTTTCGTTTGTATTTTGTCTGGATGTTTATGTCTCTCCCTTTCTTTTTGCTCTGGCATCTTTCCCACCCCTCATAGTTTTCGTTAATTGTGTCTTCCTCTTTTCAGGACTCTTTTAGCTATCAATACCCCTCTGCTGATGAGGTACAGGCTTGGGCATGCAGCATTAAAGTTTTTTGCTTTGCAGCTTATTTTCAAATGCACCTCTGCACACACTGAAATATGTCCTCTCCCCATTAAACTCTACTGGATTTGTTGTACACACAGTTAATCCTTTTCAAATAAGATGGAAACATTCATTCAGGTTAACACCATTCACAGCAATGTTTATGACTGCTTTTGTTTTATTTCTAGTGCAGTGGTTCTTAACGAGGGATCCTGGACCCACTAGGGGCCTCAACAAACTTCCCATATTTATTATCATATTCAAAAAGAAATTAATTAAAAAAATAATTGTAAAAATGCAATTAATAAAAGAAAAAGTATTCAATTTTCGTATCCATGTAAAAAAACAAAAAAGGCCTTAATTCTAAATAAGAAAGAAAAATGACTTTTTAAAAGACAGTATACATATACATACAAAAAATATCTCTGCCTTATGGGGAGGCTATAAGATATTGTGTTGAACAATGGGTTGGGGGGTGGCTTGGGGGGTGGAGAACCACTCTTCTAGTGGAAGGTTATAGGAAATAAATAGCTCTGCTGCATATTCAAGAACAATTCATTAGATTCAAGCTAAACAGAAGCAGTCTTAAAGTTTACGATCACTAATATTGTCAGTAATATTTCAATATTGCTTGCATTACATTTATGTGCACCACTGACATATAATAACCTCTTTTAAAATGGGTATGACTTTTTAGTTATGCTTTTCCTATCAAATCAGGTAGTTCGAAGAACCAAAAGAAAGACTTTCATAAGATCACACCCATACCTAATATTTATCTACTATAGCATTGCATTTTAGAATTTCTGCACCGCTATAGTGGCATCAAACAGAATTATGTATCACCTAAAAGGTAGATCTTGTCCAAGTGTTTTTCAAACAATGGATTATGCCATCTTTTATTTTTCATAAATAGGTCCGAAATCTTGAGTCAGTGTGGCTAAACTGATTATAGTCCTGTTTGCAGAAATTTCATACTGCAGCTTTAATGCTGTTTTCTCTTAAAAGGATGTCTTGAGTATATTAGTATTCATTTCTTAGTTTTATCTGTGAGATATTACTGTTCTAACTGTTAGATATTGTTAAAGAAGTGGACTTTAGGTAATGCAGTTTAGCCTATAGCGTTATTTATGAATGCAATAAGGCACAGAATTTTTAAATGACTTGATTGCGAATATGTGGATTTGCATGTGTGCTCGTGACTCATACTACATATTGAAGTAGAAATCACAGAAATTTGAGACAGAATTTCGCACGATATGGATGCCTTGATTTTACTGGTTCTAACTTTCATACTCTACATGCTTAATAGAAACAGCTCACCAGCCGTACCCAGACAATATAATCATCAGCTTTCCTACTTTCTCTCACAAAAAAATTTTCACTCCAGGGCTGCTTTTTTTCACCCCTACTGAATTTGCAACTTTTTGTTGTAAATTTGTCTTTCAGGCGTTTTAAAACACAAGAACATCCCTGCATGAAATTTCCCTACTGTGGATCCCAGACTGTTACATTCAGACCTTCCCTCACTTCTACTAAACTGCCATGTCAAGTCACACAAAACTGTAACTAACTATTTGTTGTCTTCCATAGATGTTTGTGGATAACTTCCAGACAGCTAAAGAGGCTCTCAGTGCCGCCACGGCTCAGGCCGCAGAGAAAGCAGCTTCCAGTGTGAGGGATTTCGCTCAGAAAAGCTTCAGACTTGCCATGGACATCAGACTGAAGGCCCCCCTTATCATAATCCCTCAGTCCTCCACATCCCATAATGCATTTGTAGTTGACCTGGGTCTCATTACTGTGGGAAACAGCTTCTCACTGCTGGCAGCTGAGGGCTTCCCATTGCCTGCAGTTTTGGAGACCATGGATGTAAAACTCACACAACTCAAACTGTCTAGGTAGTAAAGAAAGCTGGAGATCTTTCCCAGAATTCTCAAAATTAATTTACTTCAACTTATATATTTTAATTAGTTTCCAAGGCAACATTTATAATTTTAATTTTAATGCAATTAAAGTTAGTTAGCTAAATACAATTTAGTTTTTTTTAATGCAATATTTATGTTTTATTTCAATTAACAAAAATGTTTATTAGTAGTCTCGACTTGTTTGGTGCTACAGAATGATTCAGAGACAGCTTTTTTTCTGATTCATTTTTTTTACCTTCTTTCTTCAGGACTGTTCTAAAGCGCGATGCTGCTCATTTAGATGTTGAGATTCTGGAGCCCATAAATCTAGAGCTTTTAGTCAAGCGTAATTTGGCCACCACTTGGTACAACAAAATTCCTGGAATGGAGGTCAATGGAGTACTTATGTCAATGAACGTGAGTTTCTCATGATGTTTTAGACGTGGAAGTGTTGAATCTAAAATCTAAAATGGGGCCCGATCAGAATTTTCAGGAGAGAAAACTAAAGATTGCTATTCTCTGGCTTCTGTAGATGGCTCTTGGCCAGGAGGATGTTGGGGTCCTCATGAGAATCTTAGCAGAGAACATTGGCGAGGGAAGCAGGGCTGCTGCAGTGGAGGGAATAAAAGCTTCCGCTAAAAGTATGAAAAGGTTTAACCTGTCAGTAATCTTGTCCATTAAAGTTTGTCTTTAAGGGCTTCATTTTACCCTCTTTTCCTCCACAGATGAAGCTGTAGATGAAGGACTGATCAAAACACTACCTGTGGGGACAGGGAGTCAACCTGCATTGACCAGTGGTGCTTTCAGTGAAAATGTTGTCAATGTGCTGCTCAATTTTGAAATCAAGGAGGTGATTAAGCTCTCTTAAGTTCTTATTTTCAGTTACAGTCATAACTCCAGATTTGGAGTGGATCTGGAGGGAACTGAGAATCCTGTATCTTTCTCTTTGTAGGTTATGCTAAGGTTGAAAAAGTCCAAAAATGGGAAAGAGTATCCTTTTTTGGTTCTCCATGTAGCTCAGCTTGGAATTGACACCAAAGTTCGAAAATACGACATGGAGGCCACAACATACATTAAAAACATCTCCATGAAGTGCCTAGAGTTCCTTGGTTTGTAGCACTTGTTTTTGAAATCTCACAGTACAAAGCAGCATTTAAAATTCATTTGAACTTTTTATTTATTTATTTTTCTTTGCAGATTCAAATGGAGAACCGCTCTGTATAATCAGTTCCTCCGCAGAGTCAGGAGCAGATCTTCTTGAAGTCAAGTATTTTCAGGTAACTACTTCTTTCTGAATTACACTAATATGTAATTTGGCTTATAAATGAGCACTATTTATAAAACTTCCTACTAGTAATGGAGAACCGCTCTGTATAATCAGTTCCTCCGCAGAGTCAGGAGCAGATCTTCTTGAAGTCAAGTATTTTCAGGTAACTACTTCTTTCATTACACTAATATGTAATTTGGCTTATAAATGAGCACTATTTATAAAACTTCCTACTAGTGTTGGGCGATTTCTACAAAATTGGCATCGGACGATGTCTACAGTGAAACATCGCGATGGACGATGACATCGGCGGGGGTGGAGTTAGGGGGTGTGCCCGGAGCGTAAATCCTTATAAGGGAAAACAAATAACGATTCCTAACACCGTGTCTACACCGGACGCGAGCGGCGCGGCACGACAATAAAACTATAGAACCACTGATCTATAATAGAGATTCCTTATATATATATAGATCAGTCTATAGAACTCATTATAATCAGTGATGCTGTCTACACTGGATGCGGCGCGACGCGACACGACAAATCTCCGACAGTATACCGCTGCTGCGTTCTATTTATGACGTGCTGACACAAATTTCAAATGATTTTCAAAGGTCGATTTGTCGTGTCCAGTGTAGACCGACTTTAGCTGATGCGACGCAACACGACAACTGTCACGTCCGGTGTAGACACAGTGTAACGTTTGCCTGTTACATTACAGTACATAAAATTTCACTTACCACATAAACAGAGTAAGGAGAGATGACTGAGGACGATGGCGAATGATTTGCAGATCCTCAGTACCACTGACAAACATATAATCTTGTAAAATGTGTGGTAAGTACTGCTGCTCCATAGTATAAACAGAGTACGTGCAATCTCGAAAGTGAAACTAAAAAGCGATTGTGCATTCAAAAGCACGATGTCGGTTTCATTGCCAGGTATAATAGCGGCTCCCTGATGCCCGAAATATATATGTAGTATAATTACCCAATGATATAACTGCGAGGAAATATATATTTTCCTCCGATCTCGTATTTATTCCTGTTAGGGGTTCCGCCTACACGTCATTTTCTTTCCGAACACGGTATTGGTATAGGGGGGGATCACGATGCCGGCTCAATATTGTGATGTCTATCAGCCATCGGCGATGGACGATAGCATTGTCTATTGGCCCAACCCTACTTCCTACTCAAAAAAAATTTGTTAAAAACCTCTTGCATTAAGTGTTAAGTAACACCCTTTTAATCCATTCTAAAGTTGACTAGTGGCAGGACATTTCATGTCTAGACAGGCTTCAGCTCTTACATTTTTAACAATTTATTTAGGTCAGCACATGAATTCATATCTTGATCAAAGCATCAGGACAATTAGATCCAGCCTTTAGCCATTGCACTCTTTAGTGTCTGTGGATTGGCTCTTCTTTTAATTCCTAAGGGCCATTTCTCTCAAATGAGATAGCAGGGTCTGTTGCACATGTGTACTGTTAAAAGTCTAGAGATATGAATGAATGCATACTAATCAAGTTCTGATTAAATATATAGTTGTTGTCTATGTAATATTTGACACAACGGTTATAGATTCTCCATGATTAATTCTAGAATTGCAGCGTAGACACTAAGATGTAGCAGATGTTGAGAGCTTCCGGGACTCATGAGTGGAGATCTTAAATTTGTTTGATTCCTGTCTTTGTAGGCTGATCGAAATGGGCCAAACTTTGCAAGCCTTTACCAGAATACTGAGCAGAAGATCAATGTAAGCATCTGTAAACAAGGTTAAATAAAAGCCTGTTTTGGAAATTGAGGCGTTAATCTCAAAAGAACTTCATATTGAAGGGGTTTAACATGCCTGTGTGTGTCTTTAGGTAGTGTTCTCCTCTCTAGACCTGATGTTACACACTGAGGCTCTCCTCTCTACCATGGACTTCCTGTCTGCTGCCCTGTCCAACAGCAGTCTGCCCTCACCTGAGAGAGAGAGCAAAAAGAGTGAAGATATGAGAACTACCTCAGCTAAATCCAGTAAACACACAAACACACACATACAATCGCTGAAACTGACAAACATGGACTTTGTGCCCATGATTTAGGAATGAATTAATGAAGGACTGTTTCTGTCTCAGCTGCACTGAGTTCTCCCTCTGATGGTGACGTCATTGACCTGATGGTGAACATGCAGCTTGGTGCATTTAATGTTTTGGTTTGTGACCAAAAAAGCAACATGGCAGACATCAAAATTCAGGGTGAAAATGCATTCTTATTTTGAAAATTGACTTGTTTATTATTAAATAAATGTTACTGCATTACTGCTACTGTTTTAAAATAAAAAATAATGCAGGATCTTCTTTTAAGATATTAAAATATTTGATAGTAAATATTTAGTAAATATATTTTGTTATATATTTATATTTTATTTTTTATATTGATTAAATAATTATATAATGTAATATATGCCAAATATAGTACAAATAGAAAATTATTGTTCTTTTTATTATAGCAATAATTCTGACATAGTTGTAATAAAGCAACGTTTTAATTTTATGGTGTATTGGTCTGCTTATACAGTATCTATTTCTTGATTATTCTGAGGCTGGTTTTGTTGGTTAGCTGATTTTATAAATCTTCTCCTTAGGTTTGGACGGTTCTCTAAAGATGCAAGGAACTCAGACACACATGTACACACGTTTGCGTGACTTCATCATCATGAATGTGGATCCTAAAACAATCCATAAGAAGGCAAGCTAGCTATACCACTACAGCACATTTGAACCATTTACTATTCTTTATACATTTTAATTTCTATCTACTTTGTCTTAGGGCTGGGCGATAAGGCCAAAAAAATGATCTCACATATCAGTCGATATCGATAATTATCACAATGAATTTCAAATCTTTATTTCATTCAAGTTTAAAGGTAGACTTTTTCTCCTAAGTGAAAATTGTAGAAAGCAGACTGTTATTTGGGGTTTTAAACTAGTCTTTTTGTCAGAACATGACAAACACTTTACGTTTTTGATTTTTTTTTTTTTACACTCCTCCAGTCATATTTCCTTAACAAAAAAATATCTTAATAGAAAAATGTATTTCTTAGTTTCTGCATGTTCTAATGAGTCATATTATTGTGAAGCAGGTTTGTATTGCCTGATTTTGATGACGTGTACTGTATCTTCAGCACAGCTTGCAGTGCAGGCTGCAATATTAATATTAACTCTTTTTTTTGTCTCTTAGAAATACACATTTGACAGTAGTAGTAGCTTGAGTTAGGATGTAAATTTATGTTCATTATCAAAAACAGTAACATGTAAAAATTGTAACAACCTAATTTTTATATGGTAAAATTAATTATTCTGACTGTATGAGTTTTAAACATTAAATCGAACATTTATCATAGAGGAATAATAATAATAATATTGCGATAACCATCTTTATCGTTTTTTTCGCCCAGCCCTACTTTTGGCTTTTGTATAAACAAAGTACAACAAAAGTGTATTAAAGTAAAGTGAACTGCAATATCTGTTGTTTATTTTGGGCTATTTTTGGTTCTCTAGGCCATCTCCATTGTCGGCGATGAGGTGTTCAGCTTCAGCATGAGTCTGACACCCAAAGCCACTGAGGGGGCTGGGTATACAGATACTTCGAAGGTTGATGGCAAAGTGAAACTCAACGTGGGCTGTATTCAAGTGGTCTACCTTCACAAATTTGTCATGTCATTACTGGTGAGTTTAAATTGCACATATGGCCTCTCTGCTGATTCAAGCATACTAGCTTACTTTTACTTTTTCTCTCCACAGAATTTCAGTAATAACTTCCAGGCAGCTAAAGAGGCTCTCAGTGCCGCCACGGCTCAGGCAGCAGAGAAAGCAGCTTCCAGTGTGAGGGATTTCGCTCAGAAGAGTTTCAGACTTGCCATGAACATCAGGCTGAAGGCCCCCCTTATCATAATCCCTCAGTCCTCCACATCCCATAATGCTGTGGAGGCGGACCTGGGTCTCATTACTGTGGGAAACAGCTTCTCTCTGCTCCCAGTGGAAGGTCGTCCGCTGCCTGCTGTCATAGATAATATGGATATACAGCTCACACAGCTAAAACTGTCCAGGTAGCCTGCCACAAAGCTTATCTAGGATTTTCAGACTTACTTGTCAAAGTATAATTATATCCAATGTGTCCATTTTAAGATCTGATAATTAACTGAACAGAATTCATTCATGAATTTTCAAAGCCCACTAGTTGACCATTATACAACCCTATATGTGTTTCCTCCTATAAATGCTTTTTTGTTTGTTTTCCTCAGAATTTCCATGGAGCAGGACTCAAATCAGCCTAGTTCAAAACTGTTGGAGCCAGTCAACCTTGTTCTGTCTGTTAAACGTAACCTGGCGGCATCATGGTACCAGAAGATGGCTGCCATAGAGGTGGATGGAGATCTGAAGCCCATGAAGGTCTGTTCACATAATGTCAGGATGTATTCTCAGCTTTTAAAGTCACATTTCATGCAGCCTTTAAATTAAGTCTGTGGAAATTAGTTTTGGCTGGTCCATTTCTGGGATCTGGTTATAATTAATATAATATATAATTATAGAGTTGGAGTGATTGTGGGAAAATTAATGAAGGTTCTCACATTTTCTGACTCTGTTCCAGGTGTCTCTGAGTCAAGATGACCTGACTGTCCTTTAACATTTTTTGTCTCTGTCTTGCTCTCTCAGATCTCTCCTATCATTCTTAACACTGTCATTACCATCACTGCGGCCATGGCACCCAGACCTAAAGAAGAGCCGTCACAGCAGACGTCAGATGACCTAAACAGCCTCTGGTCTTTGATGAATGTCGCTAATGCAAGCTACTGGTTCCTTGGTGTGGATACAGCCTCCGAGGTCACTGAGAGCTTCAAGGATGTGGACAGCAGTAAGGATGGAGAGAGTTTTGAGATGAACGTGAAGGTGGTGCAGGTCACGCTGGAGTCAGGTTTGGGGCATCGGACTGTTCCCCTGCTGCTTGCGGAGTCGTCATTCACCGGTACTGCTCAGAACTGGTCGTCGTTGCTCAGTGTCTCTGCAGATATGACACTTGAGGTGAATTACTTCAATGAGACTCATGCCATTTGGGAGCCACTTCTTGAGAGAGTGGACAATGGGAGACGAAGGTGGAACCTTAAATTGGATGTAAGCAGAATTGCTTCTCTTTTTTCACTTTTTCGTACAAACGTAAATCCACATTCCCACCCTGTCAGATAGCTTGCAGGTTGTTCTGTTGGTAATTATTTGTTTGTGTTTCTGTGTGTAGATGAAGAATAACCCTGTTCGGGATAAAAGTCCAGTTCCTGGGGATGATTTCATTATGTTGCCAGACCCTCGCACAGCCATCACCATATGCTCCAAAGACACCATGAACATCACAGTGTCCAAGTGCTGCCTCAGTGTCTTCAACAACCTGGCTAAGGTAAACCATTCAGTCCAAAGAACAGCATTGACACACAAAAACCATGCATTTTCTGAACATGCAATATCATTGTGTCATTATTCACTTTTCCCATACATACAAAATGCAGGATTTTTATAAAACTTAAACCTACATTTTGAAATTGAATAAGTATTGCTATTTGTTGTTTTCTTTTTAATGGTGTGATATTCACAGGGTGTTAAATGTAAACTACTGTTCAAAAGTTGGGGTCAGTAGGAAGATTTTTTTTTAAATAATATTTTAATTTGCAAGGGTTAACATTAAATTGATCAAAAGTGCCAGTAAACTAATTTAGAATGTTTTAAAAAAATGCCAGTGAGGGCAACAAGGTCATCACAGTACGGTCCCCCCTACAGGTTCGTCTGCTCACTTTACCTGCAGAGTGCATACATCTGTTCACCTGTCTGGATAAAGAAATCATTAGTGAAAACGACCTCGTTAAAATCATGGTAACGTTGATTTCTTTTTTTATGTGTTATCAGATAAAGAACCATTTCTATGTGCCTTTTGCCATTCTGAAGTATTCTTCTGAACTTGGAGGGATGGTGAATGTAGGGGTTGCTGAGCCTGAGAAGGAGTGTCATGTTCCCCTAGAAGCTTACAGGTATAGATGGAGAAGAAGTGTAATTACATATTCTGTTCCAGTGAATTTTTGCACCCACATGAGTCAAATATCATGAGGAGCAACTGTAAAGTTCTGTGAGTCCTGCTGTAGCTGAAAACGTAATATTATGAATATATTATATGTTTTTCTTTTCTTTCTTATTTGCAGGGACTATACTGTAAAATAAATTACCTGTAATTTTTTGTGCTTTATGTTGTAACTTTCTGTGCTCTGTGTATTACTTTAGGAGTCAGTTGTTCTTGCTGCCTGTCGGTCCTTTAGAAGATTTGTATCGTGCGTCCTCCACATGTGTCACATGGAAGGAGCAGGTTCACGTGAGCTCAGAGGTTCACGCAGTGCTGCAGTGCCCCGCCATAGACAGCAGCTTCCTGCCACTGGTGGTGAATACACTGGCCATGCCTGATGACCTCAGCCATATTGCCAGCCACGGGGAAGGGGACTGGGACCCTGCTTATGTCATCCACCTGCACCCAGCTGTCACTCTCAAAAACCTGCTGCCTTACTCAATACGCTACTTGCTGGAGGTGCAGAATATTACAGTTTCAGTACACAAATGCTAGAACACATTCGGCATACACTTTGTCTCAAATGTTGGGGTTTTGTATGAATTATAATTTTTTTTTATTTTAATATATTTTAAAATGTCATTTTTTTTTCTGTGATGGCAAAGCTGAATTTTCAGCAGCCATAACTGTAGTCTTCAGTGTCACGTGATCCTTCAGAAATCATTCTAATATGCTGCTGTTGGTGCTCAACAAAAATAGTTTTAATAAATTTTTTCAGAATTCTTTTATGAATAGAAATTTAAAAAGAACAGCATTTTTTTAGATTGAAGTATTTTGTAACATAAATGTCTTTACTGTCCCTTTCAAACTATTTAATGCACCCTTGCGGAATAAAAGTATAAATTTCTTTCGGGGGAAAAAAATTCTTACTGACCCCAAACATTTGTGCATGACATTCATATTGATTATAAAATCAGTATTAATATCAGTTTAATATTAGCCAGCAGTCATTTATTAAAACCAAATCATGTCTCTCACAGGGTTCTGCTGACTTCTGTGAGCTTCAGGAGGGCAGTGCGGCAGATGTGCTGAACTCAAATGTTGGCGGTGAAATAATTGAGCTTGTTTTGATCAAGTACCAAGGTCGCAACTGGACTGGACGTATGAGAATTAGCAGAGAAATGCCCGAGTTCTTGTCCATCTGCTTCACCTGCGACACACCAGAAGGACTGACCGTGGACCTGTGTGTGCATGTGTCTCGAGTGTGCGGCAAAATGGTCCTCTCTGTTTACAGTCCATACTGGATCATCAATAAGACGTCCCGCGTGCTGCAGTATCGTGCAGAGGATACGTGTGTGAAACACCCATCCAACTACAGGGATGTCATTCTGTTCTCCTTCAAAAAGAAGAATTTCTTCAGCAAGAATAAGGTTGGATTGGGCTCTTTGGCAGTGTTTGATGGATATACCTGTACAGCCATATTAGACAAATATCTAAAATAATCAAATCATGAATGCTGACATGAACCTTAATGTGTTTGGTCTCTAATGGTCATAAAGCCATGTTTTACCCATAGTTTTTTTTTATAGTAATTCATAAATTAGCATTCTGCTCTTCCTTTCAGTTGCAGCTCTGTGTGTCCACCAGCTCATGGTCCGATGGCTTCTCGCTGGACACCGTTGGCAGCTATGGATGTGTCCGTTGTCCAGACAAAAACGGGGACTACTTAGTAAATGCTTTAAACATTTAATGAAATAAGAGTAACTTTAAGTAAACAGTAGATGCCAGCAAATGTAATCCAACTGTAAATGAAAATGAACTTGTTGGAAATCTCTTTGATGTCCAGGTTGGGGTCAGCATCCAGATGAGCAGCTTTAATCTGACACGGATTGTTACCATGAGTCCTTTCTACACGCTAGTCAATAAGTCCTTGTTTGAGCTGGAGGTTGGAGAGGTGCAAAACAACAATGGTTTTGGATGCAAGTGGCACTACATCTCCTCCACTGAGGTCGGTGCAGAATTCATCTTTATCTAAGGCAGAAGTATTCCCACAGTATTTATGTTGAGTGTATGATTGTGTGTGTTACAGTGCTTGCCTTTTTGGCCTGAGGCCAGCACAGGGAAGCTGTGTGTGCGAGTTGTGGGATCTGAATCGAGCTCCAAATCATTCTTCTTCAACAAGCAGGACAACGGAACTCTGCTGCGCATGGAACAGGTGAACATGATCTGCCTGTAAACATGATGCTAAATAAACCTTATTGATCTCTTAATTCTAATCTTGGTTTCCATCAGTATGGTGGCGTGATAGTGGATGTGAACATCTCAGACCACTCCACTGTCATCAGCTTCACCGATTACTATGATGGAGCTGCACCTGCTTTGGTTGTCAATCACACACCTGCAGCCACTGTCAACTTCAGACAGAGGTTAGCACCGCTTCAATATTTCACTTCGTATAACAGATGAATGAAAAGTCTGAATATGTATGACTGAGTAGAAAGTCCATGAAAAACAAATTAGGGTTGGCACGATACCCAGGTTTCAGTATTCAATAGTAGCAATACCGCGATTTCACAAATATCTTTACCAGTTTTGATACCATAGCAAAAACTAATTGCTATTAAAAACATTGTTTTATCTAAAAGTTAAAAGTATGTGCAGAGAAATACTTGAAGAGTACATTGCCTTGTTTTAATTGATATATTAAGTCAGTAGAAATAAGACAAAGACAAAAGAAACTAATTTCAAACTAAATAAATAAAAACAAAATATATTACATTTCAAAAGTTTGGGGTTAGTGGGATTTTTAGTAAGAAATTATTATTAAGAAATTATTATGTATGCAAGCATGCTTTAAATTGATCAAAATCGTTCCAAACCATTTAAAATATTACAGAATATTTAAATAAATGATGTTCTTTTGAACTCATTAAATAATCCTGAAACTTATATAGCACTGTTTCCACACAAATATTATGCACCCCAACTCTTCTTCAACATTGATGATAATAATAATAATAATAATAAATGTTTCCTAAATACATTAAAATGATTTCTGAAGGATCATGTGACATTGTATGTCGGAGTAAAGTGGACTAAAAATTCAGGTTTGGCATCACAGTAATTAATTACCTTTGTAAAATATATTCAAATAGAATATATTTTAGTTGGGCTAGATTTAAACCGTGTAATGCACAGATTCAATACAGTATTTTGACACTTGCCTGTTTTCATACATTCAGCTATTCGATCAAGAATTGCCTTCGACCATTCACATGTACACCTGCATGATTACAAGGCACAAATGCTCCTTTTTAATCAACTGGTGCCTGAGTAATGGTACTTTTGACATCTGTGCTCTTCAGAATTAAGAAGATCACTTAAGGAGACCATCTTTTGATTGAGTGTTTTCTTTTGGATTGTGTGTATATGTTTCCTGTCTGTAATCAGTGTCTGTGTCTCTGTGCTTGTACAGAGGCTGTGAGGAGTCTTGGGCACTGAGACCAGGTGAAGCTCAGCGTTTTGCATGGGATGATCCAGCAGGGGTGCGGAAGCTTTGCTGGAGCTGTCAAGACCACAGCGGAGAACTGGACCTTGTAAAGGTTAGAGAGGGATGCTGGGTTAGTGAATCTAATAATCCGCTAATATTACTGCTCATGTCATTCCCATGTTGATTTCTTTAGGATGAGAGTGGGCAGTTTGCTTACAGCAGCTTAGTTCAGATACACTGGGTGTCTTTCCTGGACGGCCGACAGCGGGTGCTGATCTTTACCGAGGATGTTGGCATAGTCACAAAAGCCCGGCAGGCAGAGGAGCTGGAGCAATTCCAGCAAGAAGTCAACATCTCATTAAAGAACCTGGGCCTGTCACTCATCAACAATGACATCAGGCAGGAGATAGCATATGTTGGCATCACCAGGTAATAAACCCACACCCAGCAACCATAAGTCTTGCTGTAAACTGACGACTCATTTATAGTTATTATTGATTTTTAAAGGGGAACATAAATGCCACTCTTGTGCAAGTTGTTTTTTGTTGATTAAGAATGATTGAATTGTGTTTTTAAGTTCTGGTGTGGTTTGGGAGATGAGACCAAAGAACCGCTGGAAGTCCTTTAACCACAAAAACATTGGACTGTTGGAGAAAGCCTACCAGGACTACATCAACAGCAAGAGTGAATCAGGCTGGACTAGACTAGAAACTGGCCTAGAGGTAATAAAGGATTTTCTCGAAATAAAGTTTGATTAGTAAGATAATTACGCTGCTTAGACGTTATCACATTCTTTTTTTTGTCTTTATTGAAACAGGTGAACTTTGGAAGATTGCCCATGTTGATGAGACAGCCATTTTCCTGCACTATCAGGAGAAACTTCCTGCCTGGCATTCGTATTGAGTTGAAACAGTCGCCTCACCAGAGGAGTTTACGTGCACAGCTCTATTGGCTACAGGTAACACCCACACACAATGTACTTGTTGAATATCACACTTCCGTCATTTTTGGCATTTGTTCAGTTAATATGTGCACCATTTATTTGTTCCAGGTGGATAATCAGCTGCCGGGAGCTATATTTCCTACTGTGTTTCATCCTGTTCCTCTTCCAAAATCTATTGTTCAAGACTCAGGTACAAGCACCAGTTAGCATATGAATGCTTCATCTACGCTAATTCGCTTCTGAGTGCACATTTATAGTGAGTGGACATGAACACACCATATCTTACCTTTTATCTTTAGAGCCGAAGCCGTTTATCGACGTTAGCATCATCACAAGGTTTAATGAGCACAGCCAAGTCATGCAGTTTAAGTAAGTGATGGCACAGGGATTACATTTTCTACTACTTGTACTAATTTAAATTCTGAATTACACTCAGCAAATCTAAATCTAATCTAAATCTTTGCTAAATGTACAGTATCAGACCAATGTTTCTCTTATTTACTTACTATACACATTGTTTAAAAGTTTGGGATCAGTAAGTTTTTTTTTAAGGAATTAATACTTTTATTCAGCAAGAATGCTTTAAATTAATCAAAAGTGACAGTAAAGACATTATTACAAAACATTACATTTCAAACACAACTTTGTGTTCATCAAAGAATCTTGAAAAATATGTAACAGTTTCCACAGTTCTTTATTATTTGTAATAATATTTCACAATATTACTGTTTTTACTATATTATAGATTAAACAGATGCAGCCTTGGTGAGCATAATAGATGCCTTTCAGAAACATTTTAAAATCTTGTCAACCCCAAAACCTTTGAAAGCATCCAGATGAGCAGCTTTAATCTGACACGGATTGTTACCATGAGTCCTTTCTACACGCTAGTCAATAAGTCCTTGTTTGAGCTGGAGGTTGGAGAGGTGCAAAACAACAATGGTTTTGGATGCAAGTGGCACTACATCTCCTCCACTGAGGTCGGTGCAGAATTCATCTTTATCTAAGGCAGAAGTATTCCCACAGTATTTATGTTGAGTGTATGATTGTGTGTGTTACAGTGCTTGCCTTTTTGGCCTGAGGCCAGCACAGGGAAGCTGTGTGTGCGAGTTGTGGGATCTGAATCGAGCTCCAAATCATTCTTCTTCAACAAGCAGGACAACGGAACTCTGCTGCGCATGGAACAGGTGAACATGATCTGCCTGTAAACATGATGCTAAATAAACCTTATTGATCTCTTAATTCTAATCTTGGTTTCCATCAGTATGGTGGCGTGATAGTGGATGTGAACATCTCAGACCACTCCACTGTCATCAGCTTCACCGATTACTATGATGGAGCTGCACCTGCTTTGGTTGTCAATCACACACCTGCAGCCACTGTCAACTTCAGACAGAGGTTAGCACCGCTTCAATATTTCACTTCGTATAACAGATGAATGAAAAGTCTGAATATGTATGACTGAGTAGAAAGTCCATGAAAAACAAATTAGGGTTGGCACGATACCCAGGTTTCAGTATTCAATAGTAGCAATACCGCGATTTCACAAATATCTTTACCAGTTTTGATACCATAGCAAAAACTAATTGCTATTAAAAACATTGTTTTATCTAAAAGTTAAAAGTATGTGCAGAGAAATACTTGAAGAGTACATTGCCTTGTTTTAATTGATATATTAAGTCAGTAGAAATAAGACAAAGACAAAAGAAACTAATTTCAAACTAAATAAATAAAAACAAAATATATTACATTTCAAAAGTTTGGGGTCAGTGGGATTTTTAGTAAGAAATTATTATTAAGAAATTATTATGTATGCAAGCATGCTTTAAATTGATCAAAATCGTTCCAAACCATTTAAAATATTACAGAATATTTAAATAAATGATGTTCTTTTGAACTTTCTATTCATTAAATAATCCTGAAACTTATATAGCACTGTTTCCACACAAATATTATGCACCCCAACTCTTCTTCAACATTGATGATAATAATAATAATAATAATAAATGTTTCCTAAATACATTAAAATGATTTCTGAAGGATCATGTGACATTGTATGTCGGAGTAAAGTGGACTAAAAATTCAGGTTTGGCATCACAGTAATTAATTACCTTTGTAAAATATATTCAAATAGAATATATTTTAGTTTGGCTAGATTTAAACCGTGTAATGCACAGATTCAATACAGTATTTTGACACTTGCCTGTTTTCATACATTCAGCTATTCGATCAAGAATTGCCTTCGACCATTCACATGTACACCTGCATGATTACAAGGCACAAATGCTCCTTTTTAATCAACTGGTGCCTGAGTAATGGTACTTTTGACATCTGTGCTCTTCAGAATTAAGAAGATCACTTAAGGAGACCATCTTTTGATTGAGTGTTTTCTTTTGGATTGTGTGTATATGTTTCCTGTCTGTAATCAGTGTCTGTGTCTCTGTGCTTGTACAGAGGCTGTGAGGAGTCTTGGGCACTGAGACCAGGTGAAGCTCAGCGTTTTGCATGGGATGATCCAGCAGGGGTGCGGAAGCTTTGCTGGAGCTGTCAAGACCACAGCGGAGAACTGGACCTTGTAAAGGTTAGAGAGGGATGCTGGGTTAGTGAATCTAATAATCCGCTAATATTACTGCTCATGTCATTCCCATGTTGATTTCTTTAGGATGAGAGTGGGCAGTTTGCTTACAGCAGCTTAGTTCAGATACACTGGGTGTCTTTCCTGGACGGCCGACAGCGGGTGCTGATCTTTACCGAGGATGTTGGCATAGTCACAAAAGCCCGGCAGGCAGAGGAGCTGGAGCAATTCCAGCAAGAAGTCAACATCTCATTAAAGAACCTGGGCCTGTCACTCATCAACAATGACATCAGGCAGGAGATAGCATATGTTGGCATCACCAGGTAATAAACCCACACCCAGCAACCATAAGTCTTGCTGTAAACTGACGACTCATTTATAGTTATTATTGATTTTTAAAGGGGAACATAAATGCCACTCTTGTGCAAGTTGTTTTTTGTTGATTAAGAATGATTGAATTGTGTTTTTAAGTTCTGGTGTGGTTTGGGAGATGAGACCAAAGAACCGCTGGAAGTCCTTTAACCACAAAAACATTGGACTGTTGGAGAAAGCCTACCAGGACTACATCAACAGCAAGAGTGAATCAGGCTGGACTAGACTAGAAACTGGCCTAGAGGTAATAAAGGATTTTCTCGAAATAAAGTTTGATTAGTAAGATAATTACGCTGCTTAGACGTTATCACATTCTTTTTTTTGTCTTTATTGAAACAGGTGAACTTTGGAAGATTGCCCATGTTGATGAGACAGCCATTTTCCTGCACTATCAGGAGAAACTTCCTGCCTGGCATTCGTATTGAGTTGAAACAGTCGCCTCACCAGAGGAGTTTACGTGCACAGCTCTATTGGCTACAGGTAACACCCACACACAATGTACTTGTTGAATATCACACTTCCGTCATTTTTGGCATTTGTTCAGTTAATATGTGCACCATTTATTTGTTCCAGGTGGATAATCAGCTGCCGGGAGCTATATTTCCTACTGTGTTTCATCCTGTTCCTCTTCCAAAATCTATTGTTCAAGACTCAGGTACAAGCACCAGTTAGCTTATGAATGCTCCATCTAAATGCACATTTAGAGTGAGTGGACATGAACACACGATATATCTGACCTTTTATCTTTAGAACCGAAGCCGTTTTTCGACGTTAGCATCATCACAAGATTTAATGAGCACAGCCAAGTCATGCAGTTTAAGTAAGTGATGGTGCCCAGATTACATTATCTACTACTGTGTCACATCTAAAATTGTCTCATAATGTCTCACAAAATTAAATTCTGAGTTACACTCAGCTAATCAATTAACGGTATCACATTCTTTAATGAAGTAAAATGAAAATCTAAATCTAAACTATTGTATGGTATTAATCCAATGTTTCTCTTGATCTTAAAAACTAATATACACAAATATACACTACTGTTTAAAAGTTTGGGGTCAGTTAGATTTAAAGAAATTAATACTTTTATTCAACAAGATTGCTTTAAATTCATCAAAATTAAAAAAATATATATTTCAAATACATGCTGTTCTTTTGAACTTCCTGTTCATCAAAGAATCCTGAAAATTTTCATGATTTTAAATTGCAGTAATATTTCACAGTATTACTGTTTTAAATGCATGTAGCCTTAGTGAACATAAAATATGTCTTTCAAAAACATCGTATTGATCCCACAGCCTTTTAATGGTAATGTTAGAAAATAGTGTAATAAAGAAAAAGTAGATCCAACCTTTGACTGGTATTGTTTGTTTTTCTGAAGGTACTTTATGGCATTAGTGCAGGAGATGGCAGTGAAGATCGATCAGGGCTTCTTGGGAGCAATTCTCGCCCTGTTTAACCCAGCTACCGACTCCCAGGATACTAAAGAGAAGGTAACTACTGCTTTTTTCTGACAGGTGTTGTCACATATTTTTACTGATAAACTTAATCCATAATGAGCGCAGTGGTAAACACTTCCTCCATCATTACAATCTTTTATTTTTGTGTGGCTCTATGCAATGTGAATGAAAACGAGACTGGAGATGTCAGTATGTGTTTCTCTGTGCTTCAGAATAAGCTGATAGAGAGGGATCTGGAGGCGCTGCAGGCTCAGCTGATGGAGACCTCCATGACAGATGCCTCGGGCCTGAGCTTCTTTGAGCATTTCCACATCTCCCCTATTAAAGTAATGAACCAACACCACTGTCCACTCCAAAACACAGCACATGTTCTCTTTAAGGTCACTTGTCACAGAAATTTGAAATCTAAAATAAGACCTGAGGCCTAGTTTCAGTCTTCCACATGATACAGCATGTTTGGACCCACTACCATTCAGTAGTTGGGGGTTGATAAAAAGTTGTATTTTGTTTTTGAAAGAAGTTTGACCAAGGTTGCATTTATTTATAAAATATACAGAAAAAATTAATATTGTGAAATATTATTACAATTTAAAATGATTGTTTTCTATTGTAATATATTTTAAAATGTAATTTATTCCTGTGATGGCAAAGCTGATTTTTCATCAGTCATTTCTCTAGTCTTTAGTGTCACGTGATCCTTTGGAAATTACTTATTTCATTTCTTATCATTGTCCATGTTGAAAACCATTGTTATTACTGATATTTTTGTGTAAACTCTGGGAAACCTGTTTCCCCCCCCAGGTTTCTTTAATTTGACAAAGTTAAAAAAAGAACACATACTTTTTACATGTTTTTTTCATGTAAAAAAAAAACTATTAAAAGTAATATGCTTGGAGGGCCAAATATATTTTGATATTACAGTATAATGCTGTGAATTTGGGTTATTGACATGCTTGGCTTTACTTACATATGAAAGACTAAACTGAATAAACACTTGCTTGTCTACCAGGCTATGAATATTATACATAGTAATGTCAAATGATAGATTCATTGCAAAAGGATACCTTTGACAGATAGCTGCATCAAACTGTAAAAGGACATGTAGTGTAATTGTTTATGATTGATCTAAGAAACTATGTGTGTGTTGTGTTTGTGTAGCTGCACCTGAGTCTGTCTCTGGGCTCCAGTGGAGATGAATCTGAGCAGGGTGATATGGTCGCCATCCAGTCCGTCAACCTCCTGCTCAAAAGCATTGGTGCCACACTCACTGATGTAGATGATCTGATTTTCAAGTAAGACTTTGAGATGTGCATGTACTCTAATACTGACTTACATGGGTCTTTGAAAATAAGATTCACATGGCCATCGATTGACGTCGTTTTGTTTCAGACTGGCTTACTTTGAGGTGAAATATCAGTTCTACCGGCGAGAAAAACTGATGTGGGCAGTGATCAGACACTACACTGAACAAGTGGGTGATCTAAATACACACTCATGCAATGTCAGAGTTCATTACATGAGCAAACACTCTCCAATATGCTTACATTTTCACTTTAAATCATTGTACCTGAAGGAAGTTCAGAAGTTCAGAGTCTGTTTCTCTCCTCAGTTCCTAACACAGATGTACGTGCTGGTTTTGGGTCTGGATGTTCTTGGAAATCCATTCGGGCTGATCCGAGGCTTATCAGAAGGAGTGGAGGCTTTCTTCTACGAGCCCATCCAGGTCTGACACATGCTGTTCATTTATCTATCCGTTCAGGCCTCATCATTTAATTCACTACAAATGTGAGCGTGTTATCTTTTAAATGCCAGATATAAGTACAGGTTTGAGGAACCTAGATCAGCCCATCCACAGAAATTACTGTATCAAATTATATGATACCACAGGTATTTGAGGTATATTTAATATCAGTCATCACTGTAATGCATGTAATGATATATTATGACCACTAAAATGATCATCAAATCATTTAAAGGGGTCATATGATGCTGCTAAAAAGAACATTATTTTGTGTATTTGGTGTAATGAAATGTGTTTATGCGGTTTAAGGTTCAAAAAACACATTCTTTTCCATATACTGTACATTATTGTTTCTCTATGCCCCACCTTTCTGAAATGCATCGATTTTTACAAAGCTCATCGGTCTGAAAAGCGAGGTGTGCTCTGATTGGCCAGCTATCCAGTGCATTGTGATTGGCCGAATACCTTAAGCATGTGACAGAAATGTTACTCCCCTTACCATATTGTAGTCTACATTGTAGTTTACTCTACCAGGAAACAGTCCTCCGTAAAATGTGCTGCACACATTTGAATATTTGGGTTGAACTGTTCTACAGGCATGACAAAGCCCTCTTTTGGAAGGCCAAACAAAGTATTTTCGCTTTCACAACGAAACACACAGCGCCTTCACGACATGGCGGCGGCAGCAACAACAATACTACAGCGAGAATAAAAGTTACACCTTCTTTCTTTGCGTGAACATTTGGGCGGTGTTATGCAAATCTTTCCACATCGTGACGTAGATATGTGGGGGCGTGTTAGAACAAGCCGTTTTAGGTAGGCGTGGTTGACTCTGAACTTTTATAAAGAATATCTCTTTGGATTTGAGACTTTAGTCTTTGCAACTTTACAGATCTTCTTTATGCACCAAGAGCTTGTAACACTCCAAAGAGAAAGGAAAAATTGAAATCGCATCTCATGACCCCTTTAATCCTTAAATTAAAGAAATGAAGATTTTTTTTTTGTATATGCAGCCTGCTGTATTATTATTTAAATGTCTCTAAAATTGTATGATTTACTTATATAACTTTTTATGTATTTATATAATATATATTTTAGCTTTTTTGTCTCATTGTTCAACAGTTCAATTTAAAAATTGTTCTTTGATGTGTCGCGTTTTACAAGGTTGTAAAGTTATAATTTGTAGATTACTAGCATTTGTTTGTGTGTGTAGGGGGCTGTTCAAGGACCTGAGGAATTTGCAGAAGGTTTTGTTATCGGTGTTCGAAGTTTACTGGGCCACACAGTGGGTAAGAGTCCCTGCTTTCCTGCTTTTCTCCCTCAAACCCACATATACTCACAGAGGATCCTTAATGCACATGCTTATTTTGTTTTGACATTATCTTCCCAGGGGGCGCAGCTGGCATGGTGTCTCGAATAACAGGCACTGTAGGAAAAGGCTTGGCTGCCATCACTATGGACAAAGATTATCAGCAGAAACGGAGGGAGGAGATGAACAGACCCACTAAAGACTTTGGAGAGAGTCTGGCTAAAGGAGGAAAGGGTTTCCTCAAGGTACTGAACACAAGTTCCTACACAAATAGAAAAACATCCAAGATGACATCAAAGCATTTCCCTTTCTATTTTATGCATTGTATGTAACACCATTCCATTGTATGTAGCATGAATTGACTTTTGTTATGTCTCTGCTCTCCTTCAGGGTGTGGTTGGTGGAGTAACAGGAATTGTGACCAAACCGGTGGAAGGTATGGCGGTTTACTGCTGATGCAACACGTACTTGTAGGGATGCAACGAATGTTCGGTAACCGAAATTATTCGGCCGAATAAGCGAAAAAGACCGAATAAACAGAACAATGATGTGACACGATCAAATAGCAACCAGCGTAGAGTGAGCGGCACAATGCAACAAACATGTCAGCAGTGTGGAAGCATTTAAAACTGTCAGAGAAAGACGCAAAAATCATTACAAGCACCGACAGCGAGAGACTGTTTAGGACTGCATCGCATGTCTTCAATGAGAAGAGGAAGGGGTGATTGTTGCTGGTTACTGTATGATAATTGAAATAGCGAAATGGCCTTAAACAATTAGTAAATAAACTGCAGAACGTCATGTTTTCTAATACACGCACGCATTGCATTCTGACAGCGCTGCATGAACTCGCGGTGCTATCTGCTCGTTAGCCAGGGTTCAAAGTCCAAACCGTGAGGGAAATCTGCACTGTAATAGTGTACTCAGTTGCTCAGTCACATTTTTATGATTTTTTTTTAACAAGCCACGTGACAATGCAATACGTGCGACTTATTCGTAATGAGACTCATTTATAAATCTGCTGTTGAGAATTTTCATTTCGGTGCATCCCTACGTACTTGAATGAATTTGATCCGTTTTTGTATTCCGAGATGAGATAAGTAAATATTTTATTATTGGGAATTGAAAATGCACAAATAATAATCTGTCATGGGTTTAGGGGCGAAGAAAGAGGGGGCTGCAGGCTTCTTCAAGGGCATTGGGAAAGGCCTGGTTGGAGTGGTGGCCAGACCAACAGGGGGCATCGTAGACATGGCAAGCAGTACTTTTCAGGGCATTCAGAGGTGAGACGAACATGCACATGTATATTATATTTACATAAACGCCTTCAAACACAGACTTACATTCAGACAACCATGTACATACACTACCACTCAAAAGTTTTGGGTTTGTAAAGTTTTTATAAAATATAATAAAAAAGAGAGCCAGCTACTTTTAATTGTGATAATATTTCACAATATCACAGTTTTCATTCAATTTCCGATCAAATAAATTCTGCCTTGGTGAGCATAAGAGACTTTTTATAAAAATAAAAATAAATCTTACCTAAACCCAGCTACTTTTAATTGTGATAATATTTCACAATATCACAGTTTTTATTCAATTTCCGATCAAATAAATTCTGCCTTGGTGAGCATAAGAGACTTTTTATAAAAATAAAAATAAATCTTACCTAAACCAAATATTTAAAGGGGTCATATGTTGCTGCTAAAAAGAACATTATTTTGTGTATTTGGTGTAATGAAATGTGTTTATGTGGTTTAAGGTTTAAAAAACACATTATTTTCCACATACTGTACATTATTGTTTCTCCTCTATGCCCCACCTTTCTGAAATGCATCGATTTTTACAAAGCTCATCTTTCTGAAAAGCGAGGTGTGCTCTGATTGGCCTGCTATCCAGTGCGTTGTGATTGGCCGAATACCTCAAAGTTGTGATGATGCCCTGTCAGGCCGGAGTGATGATTCAAAAACATGAAAACCCATTATAAACGAGGCATTCGTTGCATCCAGTGGGGACATAATTATGGATTATAATGACTTATACTGTCTTTTTATGCATTGCGTTGCATCACACCGCGTAAACATAAAACCATGTCTGCATTTGTAATCGGAGAAATGACAAACAACAAGTGCTACTCTACACTGCTCAAAACCCGGGTTTGAATCATCAGTGGCAAATTCTTTAAATATGGAAACTTACTTACAGTCTGTGAGTCAGAACTGCCGGCATTGTAGTCTACTCTACCAGGAAACAGTCCTCCGTAAAATGTGCTGCACACATTTGAATATTTGGGTTGAACTGTTCTGGAACAGTGTTGTAAATACAACTTAACCACTGATTTCTAGTCGTGTCCTCTTTTGGAAGGCCAAACAAAGTCTTTTCGCTTTTGCAATGAAACGCACAGCGTCTTCACAGCATGGCGGCGGCAGTGGCAGCAACAATAAAGTTACGCCTTCTTTCTTTGCGTGAACATTTGGGCGGTGTTATGCAAATCTTCCCACACAGTGACGTAGACATGTGGGGGGGGGGTGTTTAAACGAGGCGTTTTAGGAGGGGGTGGACGAGTCTTAACTTTTATAAAGAATATGTTTTTGGGTTTTGAGACTTTAGTCTTTGCAACTTTAGGGATCTTACCTATTCACAAACAGTTTGTAACACTTCAAAGAGAAAGGAAAACTTGAAATTGCATCACATGACCCCTTTAAACGGTAATGTATATATTCACATAGTTGAATGAAGATTTTTGTTTAAGCAATATTTTAAACCTAAATACTTGTATTTAGTCCTAATGTTTTAAGAGGGGCCCAAATTTACTACATTTTTGCAGAATGGAAGTTGTGAGGCCATTTCCTCTCACCCTAATTATAGCTTGGAAATCTTGTTCTTCCTACTAGGATGCATTGATGTATTGTATTATGTAAGTGCTGATGTGCACTTTACATATACATTTTGAAAAAGATTATTAGATTAATGATATGCATTCTGAAAGGACTAGAAAAATACATTTAATAAAAAATGTCCTGTGGCAATTTTCTAATATGCTGTTGGCTGTCAACTGAGTGTCAGTGTCCTAATTTGTGTCTCTTTTGTCTTTGTTGCATTTTTTTCTCACATAGTGTTGTTTTTGTTTTCCTGTGTGTTAACTAATTTTATGACTCTTTTTTTCATGTTTTTCATATGTTAATTCCTGGATGTGTTTGTTCTTTTTAGTTCAGTGAGTATTTGGAAGCTCATGAGTGTGTATGTGTGCAAATGTGTGTATGACTGGAGTGCAAATGTATTTGTATTTATGCCTATGTTACCCAAAGACATGACCGTGAATGATCCCTCTGCATTCACTCAGTTGGGTTTGCTTGTTTCCTGGGTCCAAAAAAATGTGAATTTTGCAGCATGAATGAATTTTTTATCTACAGGGTATGAATGGTTGAAAGGTAAGCATTGCATCATGGGAAGCAAAGGATGTGAGCTGTAGCCCAGAGAATTCTGCCATAATCTACAGTTCAAGAATCCCCTTATAACTGGATTAATCAACATATGCCAATTTTCCCATCATTGTAACATTTGCTTCTGATCTCCACACCCCTTTCACTGGTGCATTTTGGGGCCAATGGAAAGTCTGATGAGCAGAGCAGCACAGACAGGAGCAAAGATGATCTAGAGAGGAGAGGAAGTACAGATAAACCACGTATAATCACTTGTAACTCTGTTTAAGAGAAATGGTCCTTTAAATCAACAGTTTGAATAGTATGTAATGTCCTTATAATCATAGTTCAAGGAATAGTTTGAAGAAATAAAAATTTTCATCATTTACTCAACCTTATGTCATATCAAACCTGTAATAAATTCTTTCTTCTGTGGAACATAAAATACGTTTTTTTTTTTTTTTTATGTTTCAGGCTTTTTTTGTCTGTGGACCCTTTTTACAGACGAGTTGACAAGTTGTTTCCACAGTTATTAACATCATAAATCTAGCAAAAAAATATATTTTTTGTTTCATTTAACTTTTTCAGGCTCAAAGATCCATGTCAAAAGACATACAAATGAACAGAAAAACCATACACAAATCTGACCAATGTAATCAGTCTCTTCATATTTTTGTCCTCTTTTACAAAGTCAGAGAAACACTATCATGCATTTTTTCATTAGCTATTGGACCAAACGGACATTAAAAAATTATATTTGTTGTGAAATATGAAAAGGGTCTATTGAATTTCATTATATGGACAAAATGTCTTGTGTTCCACAGAAGAATGTCGTACAGATTTGGAATGACATGAGAATGAGTAAATGAGTATAATTTTTGGGTGAATTTTGGATGATATCCCTGTCTCCGACTGCTCTTCTTGTCAGACCAAGTCCACCGCATGAGCTCACTGCACTGCTGATGTACTGGACTCTATGACACAGCACTGCCTGGTGTGACCAGGCGCTCTCCAACCAATAGCAAAAGAAGCATTATGAATTCAAAGGCAGTCGATGACCAGGCTTACCAATCACATTGAGCACCCATGCCATTAATTCTGCCCCGGAAAAATTAGTTGGCCAATCTGTTGTGTTTTACGGTGTTCCCGCCCCTGGCTTTTTCATGCCAAACCTTTCACGATAAGCTGGAACGGTGATGCCCCTCCCCCACCCCTCCTGTGATTCTCTAGCATATGCGCTCAATCATCCAACCATTCGTTCTGCTTTCCATCTTATACACCTGAACTGATCAGCACTGTCTGTATGAACTAATCACATTAATTTTCCATGCTCGCAATGTAGAAGTAACCAAAGGTGAGAGAGGGCTTAAGGAATCAGACACTGCACGCAATAGCACAAAGAGACTTTGTAGGTTGACGCTTTTTTTAATGACTCTTGAAATGCATTGCGTTTGTTCAAGGCTGTTCAGGCATGCTCAAATGAACTTTAATTGAGTAGATTCTGTTTACTACCTGTTGTTAAGAATGACTCATCCATTGCCCACGCATTTTACATGGATGAAAATCACTGGATAACAGGATGTCGTCTTTGTGAGGGTTTTCTAATGTGCTGTTGCTGACTTGATTTGCAGGGTGGCAGAATCGACTGAAGAGGTGACTAAATTAAGGCCAGTGCGTCTGATACAAGAAGATGGCATCATACAGCCCTACGACCACCATGAGTCAGAGGGCTTTGACCTCTTTCAGGTGAGGTCACCTGTCAACCCCACTGACAAGGCTATTAGACCCCGATGGGAAGGATTTTAATCGGCTTAATCCTCTGTTTTCATTTACAACTACTAACTACTAACAGCTAAATTGTTTTGAAGGATTGAAGTCAGTTTGACAGATTAAGGCACAACCATTGTTTTTTCATGCACTGGTCAATTTTGAGATTTTGGACTATTTTGCTTCCATTCCATTGTCATATTTCAGACTAGTGGAAAGAAAACATCCAAATACACATTTAAGTGTATATTTTATTACACTTTATCTATTTGCATCTGTAGATTTCAACTATAGTAAGCCATTTCCTCAAAATGAGTTTTTCCGGTTACACTTTATTTTAAGGTGTACTTGTTACAGTGTAATTATACATTTAAGTACGGAGTACCGGTAATATTAATTAACTACATGTGCTTACTATATGGTTAGGGTTAGGATTAGGGTTTAGTTTAGGGTTACTTGCATGTAATTATGCATAATTTATTGTCATTACGATAGTTAGTACATGTAACGTATGTAACAAGGACAACTTAAAATAGTTTTTCCTCCGTTTTTCCTCATGCACTGAGCCAGTAGGACTTACATGCACCAAACTTTCCAGTTTTATTCTTATTTATATTTGGAATGTTTTTTACAGAGGGGTTTGTTCATATATCAGCCTGATTTATGTAACATTTTATTTCTTCATAAATGTTTTTTTTTTCCTGGCTGTTGAAAGTACTTTATCCATAAATATGGATTTATGGTATAATAAACAGAGATATTAAAAATCCCCATCTATAAAAACGTTTAATTCTAATATGTCAGCAAAAATAAAATAAGAAATTTGAACTTGGCTTTATCTAATGCTCAGCTTTCTGGTTAGGAAATGTATGTTAATTAGTGCATATTTAAACTCACCATTTTCAGTTGTCTTATTGTGCTGTGATTATTCAACTGGGAAAGGATGGGGATATCTTTTATGGCGCTTTTCCACTGCATGGTACGGCACGGTACGGCTCACTTTTGGGGGGTTTCCCACTGGGTACAGTACCTGGTACTTTTTTTAGTACCACCTCGGTTGAGGTTCCGACGTGACGTTGTAAACTCTGCTGATCACGGATTGGCTGGTGAGAATTGTCACTACTTGTGATGATTGCGACACAAACACAACCGAACCACTAGATTTAAAGGGGTCATATAATGTGATTTAAATTTTTCCTTTCTCTTTGGAGTGTTACAAGCTCTTGGTGCATAAAGAAGATCTGTAAAGTTGCAAAGACTAAAGTTTCAAATCCAAAGAGATATTCTTTATAAAAGTTCAGAGTCAGCCACACCTACCTAAAACGGCTGGTTCTAACACGCCCCCACATGTCTACCTCACTATGTGGGAAGATTTGCATAACACCGCCCAAATGTTCACGCAAAGAAAGAAGGCGTAACTTTTATTCTCACTGTAGTGCTGTTGCCACTGTCGCCATGTCCTGAAGACGCTGTGTGCTTAGTTGTGAAAGCGAAACTACTTTGTTTGGTCTTCCAAAAGAGGACGATATCCGCTTCGTCATGCCTAGAGCTGATCCGTGCTGGTCGCTGAGGGAATACATCAACTTAGTGCTGTGGACCGCCGGAATGTGGTTGCCGTTCCTTCGTCGGATCCGCCGGCCGCGCTGTTCTCAACCCCGCTGCCTCTGCTCACTCTAGCCCGGCCTCAGCTCTGATCCTGGTAGAGTAGACTACAATGCCGGCAGTTCTGACTCACAGACTAGACTGTAAGTACGTTTTCATTTTTTAAAGGATTTGCCACTGATGATTCAAACGCGAGTTTTGAGCAGTGTAGAGTAGAGCTTGTTGTTTGTAATTTCTCCGATCACAAATGCAGACATGTTTTTATGTTTACGTATGGTTATAAGTCATTATAATCAGTAATTATGTCCCCACTGGATGCAACAAATGCCTCGTTTGTAATGGGTTTTAATGTTTTTGTGTCGTCGCTCCGGCTGGGACACGCCATCACAATATGGTAAGGGGCGTAACATTTCTGTCTCACGCTTGAGATATTCAGCCAATCACAATGCACTGGAGCTGGTCAATCAGAGCACACCTCGCTTTTCAGACCGATGAGCTTTGTAAAAGTCGAAAGGCGGGGCATAGAGGAGAAACAATAATGTACAGTATGTGGAAAATAATGTTGTTTTTTTTTACTTTAAACCGCATAAACGCATTTCATTACACCAAATACACAAAATAATGTTCTTTTTAGAAGCATCATATGACCCCTTTAAATCAGCACAGCCAGCGAAGGATCGAACGCAGCTGTTTTGAACAAGCAAAAAGTGTCTGTTTCTGGTCTGTTGAGGAAGTACAGACGTTCCTCTGGTTGATAGCAGAGGAGCGGATCCAGCGAGAGCTTGATGGGGCGACGCGGAATGAAAAAGTTTTTCAGGAGTCGTGGTAGTAGAGGCGGCGCAACTATAACCACATGTGAATAATCCCGCCCACTCTAAAGCGGTGCTGAACTGCAGTGGAAACGCGAACCGAGTCGTACCATGCAGTGGAAAAGCGCCATTAGCTACATTTTTACTCAATTTAACTGTGGTGTTCAACTCAACCAAATTCAAAATCCCCTTGTTAGAATTCCAGCCGTATTGTTCATTAAAACTGACCTTAAACTCCAAAGTTGAACTGACTCCTACCCTGCTGTGAAGAAATGAATTCCTGTTTGCCTACTGGTTTAATTTTTCCTTTTTCTCTCTCTTCTGTCCTTTCCCAAATGCAGCCTGAGGAAATGTAAATTGGGAGTGGGGGATGGGATTGGGACTATTACCTTAAAGATGTTACTGAAAACAATTAAGAACACAGAGACATTGTAGCACTTAACCAAACTGGATATCCAGTACTAGACTCAGTCTAGTCTGGTCCACCTATAATAGAACGTTACATCGTTGTGTTTAGAAAATGATATATTATCCTAAGTCTGCATCTGAAGTTGTCTGTCTTGTGCACTTTTATGGCTTTGCTACTTTTCTTATCTACATTTTTTTTATTAATTTTGCCAAAAATAATTCCAGCATTATACCTCAGACATTTTTTTAATATCAGTATATACTTTTATTTTGTATCAGTTAATGCCAAATATATCCAAACATAACCTCATTAGTTAATATCTTATTTTCCCCAGAATATTTTATTTGAAATGTAAAAACAAATAACAAGGTAGTTTTAAGACGTTAGAGCCACACTGGCAAACAATAAAAGATTTTCATTATTAATATTTAAACAATTATTAGATTTGTTAGAAATAGGATGTGTAACTTCCAACGTTTGTCTATTTTTCTAAAAGTCATTGTAATTTCTTTGAATTTATGTCTGTAAATACATTTCCATGAATCTAAAGTCTGATAACACAATATTGCAGTCTATATCAAAATATATTTATTAAAAATGGAATGTAAACATAATTCTTAATCATTGTGAATACATAAAAATGTGCATATTAATATGCAAACTTATTTATATGCACTAAATGTGCATTTTACAATGCATGTTGGAGTTAATGTCTGGTGTATTTTCCTATATACTTTATATGCTATATCTTATATAGCACATGTGTTTCATAATTGTCATGTAATTGTTGAATGTGGCTTTACTGTGTTGTAATTGTATTAATTGCTTGAATCCTGTGATTTGACCCAAATAATCTGGAATAAATCATTACTCCTCTTTGCCATGATCAGTTGCATTTTGGATGATTTCTTTAAAAAAAAACAAAAAATTTAAGATCATTATGATTCAGATCATTATTGCTGAAAGAGTATTCAGGAGCGGTCACTACAGCAGTGTGTGCTGTATTTTGTGCATTGTGCTGTATGAGTGTGTATGTTTTTCAGAGGTCTGAGATAAAACAGTTGGATGGAGAGATCTTCAGAGGACACTATGAATACCCAGGGCACAGGAAAACAAACATCCTTATCACCAACAGGTATTCCAACAACAGAAAAATGATGAAACATTGGCATTTGGCCAGTTTTCCCTTTTTTATTTCTTTTATTTATCATGCAGGAGAGTGATGTGTGTGAAGGAGATCGATGTGATTGGACATTTCAACAAAGAATGGGAATGTCAATTTGAGAATTTTCAAAGGCCTCCAAGCACTGAAGGAGGAGATTTGAAGATATATTACCGGGTACATAAATGGCTTTCTTTGACAGGCTTCCTAACAGCACAGTGATGAGTGTATAATTTAAAACATACTGATAAAGTTATGATCAACTAATTAACATTGCTTGACAACAATCTGGATGTTGGTGTAGGAACAGAACAAATTGAACCTCATTAGGAAGGATGGACAGATGCTAGTGAAAGTGATACACATGAGAGATGCTGGCACGGCGGAGGTAAACATCACAGATGTGTGTTTTGTTTTTTTGTGTGGATTGTAACTTAAAACTGCTGCTTGAAAATTGTTATTTAGCTTCAGGAATAGTTCACTGTTGTCAATTTGCTGAAAATGTATTCACCCTCAGGCCATCTATGATATAAATGATTTTGTTTCTTCATTGGAGCAGATTTGAGAAATATATTATTACATCACTTGCTTACCAATGGATCCTCTGCACTGAATGTGGGCCATCATAAAGCTTATAAAAACATTGTGAATTATTATGATGTTTTTAAGTTTGAACTCTCATTCTGACGGCACCCATACACAGCAGAGGATCCATTGGTGAGCAAATTATGTAATGGTTATTTTTTTCCAAATCTGTTTCAATGAAGAAACAAATTCATATAGATCTTGAATGGCCTTAGGGTAAGTAAATTATCAGTTCATTTTTATTGTTGTGTAAACTATTATAATGAATGTAATCTCCTTAAAGCAAAACTGGCAAGCAAAACGTCAATGCCCATTGTTGAATATGACACTGGGCATTTTGCATTTCGCTAGTTGTTTTACAGATACCAAGTTGTGATTAAGCTAGTTACACAGGTTGCACTAGTTTTATCTCTTTCATGCTCACATGCCTTTACACTGAGTAAAAGTACATAGCTATCAAAATGACTGCTTTTCATTTTCTGTCAAGAACAAACGGTGGCCTCTTTGACCTCTTTTGCTTCACACTCCACAGAGACTGCGAGAAGGAATCGATAGTGCCCAGTCTGCACGCAAGCAATATCAGATGGCACGGCAGAAATCACAGCGCTTCATCAAAACGGGCAACGTTTAAATAAGTCAGTCATGCCTACATCTCCTTAGTTTAATATACTGCCTAGCATTCAAAGAATCAATCATGTGTAAAAAAAATATATATTTTGGCAAATGTATTCGTTAAACTCAGTGGAGTTTTGAATGTATCTCTGAACTTTGGGAGTTAGAACTAGATTTTTTTAGATGTTTAAGCAGTAAGCACTTTGCCTTTTGTTGTCATGTTTGCTTGAGATGGGTCTTGATGATGGGAGAAAACAAAAGAGACCTGTTTTGTTCATTGTTAATTATTTTGTTAGATTATTTTGCACTTGCTATAAAAAAAAATACATCACTTCAATATACAACTGTAATGTGCAGTGTGAGGCTTGTCCAGTTTAGCTCACTTACCTTGATTACAAATCCTGTCAAAAAAGGTTTTGCTCAACAATGACACGTATAATACACAAAATATCTCTTAGCTTAAAAATGATAATATTACAATGTTTTGATCTCTCTTGTATTGTTTTACAGACACACATATGCATCTCTTGTCCCTTGCACTTCACTCGAAGACATAGTGTACTATGACTATGTAGTAAAAAAAGTGCTGTCTGTGTGCACTTTGTAAAATGGCAGACCAAACTTGCTATTCGAGGTGGAGACTATGATATGAGCTTTGCTTTACCTCTCATAGTTACTTTTTTGTTTTGGAAGTAACCAAGACGTGATTAAACAGCGTATGTCTGTATGGCAAGGAAAGATTGCACTGTATTACACAGTTTTCCCACAATGATCTACAGTGAATGTAATGTCAAAGCACCTGGCAATGGATCCTCTCCATGTTGCTAAGTAACTGGGCTTCCTGTATGTGGGTGCAAGTGACCCCTATTGGCCTGGTGTGGGCAGGAAAGGAGAGATTGGCTATCCCATGCCCTTTTGCTGTGGGTCTTTCCATGTCCTCTTATTTCCTATGCATCAGTTGACCAGACATACACCCACAGGTCAATCCCACTGTGTGTAGACAGCTGTAACAGCTAAAGACACCAAATGTCATAAATAATGTCCACTAATCCAATGCAAACACTACGAATGTCATGTGTTATATAAAGATTTCCTGATCTCATCTGCCTCTCTAGATAAAAGCTGTTTTCAGAAACATTCAGTGTGCCGTAACTGTGATCACAACCTCATACGTCAATGCAGAGCAGTAAAACTGCAGTATCTAATCTAAGATCAGTCTCATGACTGAACTCTGTTGTGAAAACTATCTTAAGTTCATGCCACTGTAATTAAAACTATAGTATTGCACTTTGATTAAACTTTAGAAAATCAAATTGTATAAAAAATTTTTATGAAAGTAGAGAAGTGGATTTCTTTTTGTACAAATAATTGTCCTTTGTAGTGTCATGGCCTAATCGATAGAGAGTAGGACTTGTAACCCGAAGGTTGCGGGTTCGAGTCTCAGGTCCAGCAGGGATTGTAGGTGGGGGGAGTGAATGTCCAGCGCTCTCTTCCACCTTCAATACCATGACTGAGGTGAGACCCTTGAGCAAGGCACCGAACCCCCAACTGCTCCCCAGGTGCTGCAGCAATATGACTGCCCACTGCTCCGTGTGTGTGTGTGTGTGTGTGTGTGTGTGTTCACTATACTGTGTGTGTGCACTTGGATGGGTTAAATGTAGACCACAAATTCTGGGTATGGGTCAACATTCTTGGCCACACTTCACTTCAATTAAAAGGAAAACTACATATATTTTCCAAGACATTTTTACTAATTCATTTTCCAACTAATGCTCTATTGTGCATTATATAATGTAATGTTTATTTTCATAATTAACGTTTTTACGTTATACACAATATCAAATATGGTCAATATCACCACAGAGTGCCTTTCACACCCTCACAATACTCAAAAATGTTGGTTTTAATTTCCCATTCGCTTTGTCATGTCATAAATAGACACTAAAGTACTATAGAAACATATTGGCTGAGCTCCCACACATTTTTTTAGATAATTATGGGCCATTATTCAAAGTATAAACCATAAGGTATGTCAGCTGTCATGGACATATATATTACTGTTAAATACGTTTTCATTGTAAAATTAAGATGCAACTTTTATTTTCTGAAAGGTATGATGTCCCTTTCCTAAACAGGGTTATTTGTTTGCTTTCAAAATATAAATACATAAAAGATTTTATGTAAACCATGTGTTTTTAAAGAAACTCCTACAATTCGCACATGTATTTTTTTCTTATTTGGAGAAAACTGTGATATTTGGATGCAGTTTTTTGTTTGCATGTTATTGCCCCCACACCTAGCTATTGAACACACTGGATTATATAGATATGATTGAATTATTATTCAAAATATTTGTGTAAAATATCAAGATGACAGGGTGGACCAGCACAGGGTGGACACATAATGCAGAACACACAAAGCATGACAAAATATGACAATGAGACATTTATTCAACTTTTAAAATAAATAATATAATTTCATCCTCAATAACGTTGCTATTTACTTAAAGGGGCGGATTCCCCAATAGGACAGGGTGGACAACTCTTCAAGGGACATGGACAAACTCTTCTTTTTTATTAAATAAAAATAATTTTTTTATTACCAAATAATCAATACACTCAAATTAAGTAATCTCTTATTTAACAAGATATTAATAGGAGAACAATTTTTTTTTTTTACATTTTATGATTTGACAATATTCTACTATCATTCAAATTTAATGAGCAGTGCATTGGACATAGCAAAATAGCATGCATCCTCTTACACAAAACTAAAGAAAAATCTAGAAAATGTATCTAAAGAGCCAAGTAATGCTTTTGTTATGAATATAAAAACTTAGCCTAATTAACACACCCTTTCATAGTCACAGTTATTTATGTACAGGACACCAAAAGGCACCCTACAGTGATATTGACCCACGTGTAATCTAGCAAATCTATATTTTATGCTGGGAGGAATGGTGTCTGTAAAGATTGCAATTCTCAATTGTAAAATACTCTAAAAACTTAAAGACGGTCAGCAGCAGGATACCAAATAAATGTTTTGGGCGCTTCATAAATCTGGTGTTTATCTGTCTCTTATATTGTTGGTCTACTGTAGCTAAACTTCATACATGGCATCATGAACTTGCAAGCTCTGGAATGGCATTTAGCGGAAGTACGTCAGCAGCATGTTCGCTCATCACAAGCATGCTGTGTGTGTGTGGACAACCTTTGGGTTACTAAGAAAATACATACGTTTATTAATAACATCCTGCATCTTGGGACAAAGGACTGGACAACACAGAGGAATTGTTAAATTATTATTCTCAAAGATATAGCTCAAATAGGTGCCTTTCCCACTCAATTGTCCACCTGCCAAATATTATTAAAGTGCACCGATGAACAAATAGTTCTGTTGAGTCCGATCTTTTAATAAACCAGTTGAACGGGTTTGCAAAATTGATGTTTGATCTATGTTCGATTTTATGTGTCAGTGTAATGATTCGTACATGATTCTCACCGAATCTGTACAAGTGGTTCGGTATAGGAGCGAATCACAGTGATTAAAAGTTCACAACTCACCGACTCATTAAGCCATCATTAGGTCAGATTAATTGCAATAAATGTTAACAATTCAGGTATATTTATTAATGTGAAATACGATAGTTTATTTTAATCAATAGCATAATTGCTAGGATTCAATTGTTAATTGTTAGGATTTTTACTTTTACTAACAAAAGAGATGCAAAATAAATTTGATTGTGGTTTATTTTAGATGTAAAAATTACAATAAGGTTCCAAATTAGGCTACATTTACATTTGTATTAGCTGAATCATGGCTGTAACCAACTAAATTATGATGCAAGCTACTACAATAAACACCCATGCTAATAAAACCTAAGCAAAATGTGCCACACATGGCTTTGTTGGAATGTTTAGGGCAGGGATCCTCAAATCTGGCCCACGAGATCCACTTTCCTGCAGAGTTTAGCTCTAACCCTAATCAAACACACCTGAGCATGCTAATCAATGTCTTCAGGATCATTAGAAAATCACAGGTAGCTGACTTTGGTCAGGGTTGGAGCTAAACTCTGCAGCGCATTGGCCCTCCAGGGCAAGATTTGAGGAACCCTGGTTTAGAGCATGTCAGTGTATGTAGGGCTATTCGATTCCGAAATTTTTGGAATCGAGTCCGATTCCGATTCAGCGTTATGGAATCGATTCCTCACTGTTGTTTTCGATTATTTTTCGATTCTTGTTTTTTTAGATTGAAGGAACCTAATCTCACCATGATGACTGCAGGATAAAGGTCGTAGAAAGTATCCTTCTCATAATGAAGCTTCATTTGTAAAAAAAAAATAAATAAAAATAATAATAATTAAGATCCATAAAGTTATTTTTTTCTGCCCGTGAAATTAGTCAGCCCACAGCTCAGCAGGGACATGCGTTTATCGCATGAATGGAACAAGACATGAAGTGTCTAAAATAAATGTGCACAGTTCAGCTGAATGATGAAGTTTACTTTGACTGTATGCTTTGCACAAAATTAACAAACTGTACACTGAAACTAAATAACCAGAACATTAACAATAACTGATAGAGCTCGTGGTTTATCTGTCAATCAGATGCGCTCTCGGCCACTGAACTATGCTCGGGACGTTTTCTTTTATAATTATCATTGGCTGATAGAAATGTTTTCAAAAAATAGTATTTTAGATGGAAATAAGATCAAGACCCTCGATCACGTCATGATCTATTCCGTCGTGCAGCGCTCAAAACTGTGGACGAGCCAGTTCCACCCTAAAATAACCTCCCAATCGGTTTTAGTTTATTTGAACTGGTTCATTACAACTATCTATCCGAATCAGGAAACTAATCAGACTTCTAATCACTTTTAGCGAGCATGAGGGAGGCGAATGGTGCTTCTCAAACGGAAGGCTGCATCCTAAAATTCAGATGATCTCAGTACCGAGTCCGACTCTTTTCTTTCGTGAATTTAAATGTGTGCAGCGTTTGAGAGGCACCCATAGATAAGCTTTGTTGAACTGAAAAAGGCTCTGAATGAGGAGTCGACTCCCCTTGATGGAATCGATTCCAACCTTTGGAATCGACTCTCGATTCCCAAAGCCTCGGAGTCGAGGAATCGATTCTTTTTGGAATCGATTCCCAGCCCTAAGTGTATGTCAATAGTTCTCGTGTATGTTTGATGTGACCGTGTCTCGCGCTCAACAGCGCTGTCTGTGGACAGAAGGGCCACACCCGCTCCCATGAACACGAACAGATCTGTCACACGCTCAAGTGCAACCAAAAGACGATGTAAAACGAATCCGAGTTGTTCGACAAAGCGATCCCATTGTATTAATAACTGAAATCCGCAGATGAACATGGAGTCTCCGCCAGAGTCCGTCGCGTCGCCGCGCAAGAGCGCTTCTGAAGCGGACGCTTCGGTGGAGGACAGCCCGCTGAAACTGGACAGCAAGGCTGAGCCCGACAAACCAGCACCAGTTCGGCGGCAGAGTTGCTCAAGTACCAACAGGGGTAAGGCTTGAAGAGCAGAACCCAAACTTGCTTGTGAATTATTTTCCAGCTTAATCAAATTCGCGGAGATCAAATTTGAGCCTAATCTTGAACTTCAGTCCTTGCGTGTGACCTGTTTCATATTAGCTCTGAATTTACAATGGATTAAACAGATTAAAAATCATGCTATTTTACATATATGGAGGCCTGGTGGAAGCACATGCACGCTTCGTGCAAATTAACTGATAATGTAGGCGAGCCCAAACATTCCTGGCCACTGGCTACCTGTCATTTCTGATATAATGCTCGCATGCGGTTTAGTAGTTAATGAAGTAGTGTTGTCGTTTTTCACGACTGCCACAGTTTTATCCACTCCTGCTCTCATTGTGTTTGTACGTCGATAGACAAAACTGTGGAAAACGTGTCCGTGTTTCAGTACAACTAATTATACACGCGCTTAAATGCAACGTATGTTAGTGCACAAAGCACAGACGAGACATCATTTGCATAGCAAAGTGGTGATTTCATAGTGTGTGCATGAGCACAAAGCCGTTTGTTTTACATGGGACAGCCACAGCCCTTTTGTATCGCTGATTTGGGGATATAAGTCAAAGAAATATCGGTTAATGTGTTATTCGGTAGACTATCATAGTTGACAGTTTAGTCCGAGCAGATTTCATGTCTGCGGCTGTGCCTCAAAACCTCCTTGAGCTGCCTGCCTATGCAGCATTTCTGGGCACTGTGTGCGATTATGTAGTCTTCAAATGCTGTCTAAATAGGCTGCTTATTTGGTATTGAGACGCCGCCCCTGTGTCTGGCAGGCGTTGCGCTGAGCTTGCGTGTGTGTGTGGAGCGCTGTTATGTAACAAGTTAAGTCTCTCTCTCACACACACACACACACACACACACAGACAGACAGACAGACAGACAGACAGACACACACACACAGACAGACAGACAGACACACACACAGACACAGACAGACAGACAGAAGGAGAGGATATGAAGGGATATTTTCACGTCTTTACTGCTCGTGTAAACAAATGGGGTTTTATGTCATGACATACTGCGGTTTTTAATGTAGGGCGTTATTTTCCCTGTGTTGACACGGTTGTACCGTTTTCTCTTCACGGACACGCTGTCTAGTTGCTCTGTTACGTAACCAGAGGACGGAGAGGCAGGTATGTTTATGGACCCGGCCGCGGAAGGAGTCACATTTTGGACTCGGAAAAGGGCCTGACACTCCTAACCCGCTAACCTATATTCTCAAATTCTCCTGCTTGGTTAAGATAACTTTCCCTGAGGATTGGCCAAAAAGTTCGCCCAGGATTAAAGAGTAATTTCTCGGTGCGCAACGAGGAACACGTGTTAACATCTTTTACACTGGCTGAGGTTTACATCATAGCAAATGGGAATGATTTAGGATTCATTTATTTAAAAAATGCGCATGAATGGATGGTCAAACAATTTCTTCAGATGCTATAATCACTATGGCCCTGTCTCCATAGTAAATTGTTCACTGGCATTGATGCGAGTTAAATATTTAATGTAAGGTGTTATGAAACATCATGAAGAACAATAAAATAAACATGGAATTAAAACTCACCCTATATATTACCCAAACTTGTTGTGAATGATTCTTCCATGACTGTTTCATCTGGAAGTTATTTTTCAAGCTGGCATTCATATTTGCCTCCATCTAATCAACAAGCAATGGATCGAAAAAAAATCCCGCCTACATTTTTTCTTTTTTAATAATCTGTTTAACTCGGATGTACATCACAATATTACATTACATCGCGACTTTATGGCTCACACCCAGGCACAAACAATGGAAATTCTGTCATTATATAATCACCCTGTATGACTTGCGTTCTTCAGCATTTATCAAAATATATATTTTTGTGTGTGTTTGTCATTCTTGGGTGAGCTATCTCTTTAAGGAGTCTTCTTCAGCCTTAGCAGCAGTTTCCTCTCAGCAGTCTCTCTAAAAGCTCCATATTTTACACAAGTCCAGGGACTACCTACCCAAGCTGATGTTAGTTACATAACTGTGTTTCCGCGAATTCTTCACTCCAGTGGAGGAGGTGGGCCTCAGGGTGGACAAGTGGCTACACACTAGCACTCAGCCAAAAATGTGCAAGGCCATCGCTGAGCATCTTATGTCCACTTGAGGCTATTGTGCAGTGGGCCGCAAGATTGTGCCTGACTCGCAGCTCAGATGCAAAAAATAAATTAGCAAAGAGCTGTGTTAGATATGTCCAAGCAGACAAAATGTGAACAATAGCCTACATTGTCTAATAACCATGTCCACTTGAATTAGAAGTGGTCATTCTGAGTAATATTAAGGTGTGTTCACACCACTCCGGAATTACTGTGATTTTAAGATTTCAACTTGTAAAAAGGGTTCACAAACTTGTAGAACTTGTATTTACAACTTCAGAATTCCTGAAAGCTCTGATTTGTACGAGCAGTTGTTTTGTAATATTTCTATTAAATATTTCCTGCAGTATTGTTGAATATTGGTAGTGTCTTAATGTGAGAATAGTATGAAAATAAACTAAAGACATACAATACAGTTTAATGTAATTAGCACAGTTGAATAATTAGTGTTCCAATAAACAAATTATACGTTTTTTAAATTTTTTTATTTTTTTCAAAAAGGCATTTGCATTAATGGCCGTTTATGTGGTTTTGTCTTGATTAACCAAATAACACATATTTTTGACATTAATAGTGTTGCTATAGAAACTCATAATTATGAGTCTGAGGGCATAAGCTCTGAGTAGGACGTCCCGGGTTGTCATCTAATAATTATGATAATTACAGCATTGCAGAAACAATAAGCAATATTTTCAACAATTTTGTGCACATTAACATATCGGCTACCTTGCTCTTAGGTATTAATCATGGATAACTATCCATTGAAAAGTTGCCATCTGGTGACTGCTATTAAAAGGCTTGCTATTTTAAATTGAATAGGACTGAACGAGGATATGTGTGTTTCCAGTGGAATGAACATGTAAGTAAGGGGAATAAGTGAAGATTCCAGAGTTGATGCAATCAGTGTTTTAGAGCTGACTTTTTGACGAAGTCTTGTCTGGAATTGTGGAGACACAGAGAAAAATGAACATACAACACTCACAGAAAGAGAGCAAACATCCTAGCCTGGCTTTTTGCATTGCGATGGAGTGTTATTGCAGTGGTGACAGTCATAATTGGCTACAGGTGCGCCCCATCTAATGCTGCCAGGCAAAGTACTTTACACACCCTCCAAAGCAGTTGCAAAATAGCCATAGCATGATGTTTGGTGAGAGGAGGTGTTTGCATCAAACAGAGGGTTATCTAGGATCACTCACTCTGGGCTAATTGACTTTTGCTACCAGGCCTCACAGTAACCTGAGAATTGCTGTGGATTTAGACGGTTCAAAAGTACAGAACAATGATGTGATTGTAAATGCGGTTGTTGAGGAGCTGGTGATATGAAGGCAAGCTCTCAAGTAGATACGAATCATTAACTGCTGCTTTTAGATAGAGGAGAAATGCGTTGTCCATCTGGTGGAATATTTGATTACATGATGCACTCTGATGTTTGGAATCTCACTTTACACTCATTTACCAAAGTCGGTAGTTCCAGGAAATTGCCCATTTGTCATGTAAAGCTCAATTTCTTTCCAAGGTTTTGTATTTAGTTTGAAATGCCAAATACAAAATTAAAGATTTGCCGTCTTTACCTGTTTACAGCAAAGTGAAATATCTCCACCTGAGCTGAAAATGGCTCACCTTGTAAACCACTTATACTGGAGGGGAACATGTAGTTAAGATGACATTTGCTGGAATGGGGGGGGGTTGGCTGTTTTTTTTACCTTCTTGCTCAGTGAGATTCCAGAAGAAAGGGGGGCGAGCATTCAGGCTGAGTTTATCTGAATACTCTGCACTGTACATTGTGTACTCCCTGCTGCGCTGTAACCGTGGTTCGAGTCCTGCCATATGGCCTCATGTTTCCCCTGCAGCATGTACCAGAAAGCTACTAGATTGTTTACATTCAGAGCAGCTCCACCTCACAGGTTCCTCATGAATCATTCTTGTATATTGTGTAATAGAATCAATGATTAGTAGGTCAAAAAGTTTATGTTTGTGCTCTTTAGGAGTTAGGAGAGCTAATTGGTTAGTGAGGCTGACTAGCTCTGGGGTCCTGATTTCTAAAGACCATCCCTGCGTCTCAATGTTCATACTATCTATCCTAAATAGTATGTGAGATTAGAATAAGTGTGTCCCAAAGCATAGTATGTTGAAAAAAGTCTCCGGATGTTCTACTATTTCAGGTCGATTTTTGAAGTGTGGATCCGTGCACACTCCAGTGGCTAAAATTGCCCACAATCCATTGCGCTTTAGCGAAGGATTCGGTCCAGAACTACAAACACGAATAAAATGCGTAAGAAAAACTACAAATGTGGCGGATGCGCGCGATCGACGGTTAGGTAGAGAGGTTTACAAAAAGGGGTTTGAGTTGCTAATAATAAACATTTAACCTGGTAAAAAATATTTATTTATTGTTATCCGTGTTATATTTAATCTGCAACAGTAATGTGAACTTTTATAAACATCCATTTGGTCGTGAACTTTTAAATGCATCATTATGCAGAAAATATGAGCAGAGTTCTCCGCATGAAAGACCCGCGACTGGCAGATCAACGAGCTACTTCTTTTCTCTCCAGTACTGTAGGAAGTTAAATGAAATGAAATGTGGAGGATGTTAACTGTGACAGGGTGCGTGTAACAGGTGCGACAGAGCGTCCGTTAAAGACGCAGTTGTGTGACCTGATAGTATGTCCCAAAGCTTGCCTACTCTTCTACTACGCACTCAAAAGTTTGTACTTTTTCTTCACCAAAAGAGTACATGCTTTAAGGGCGTAGTATAAGTAGGCACATGGAGACGCAGCACATGTGAAGTCGAAAACCATGAAATTGACCTTTCACAAAGACCCGTCCCAACTAGTTGCTACATCCAACAAGCCATG